CGTGGTAGCGCGCTTAGCGGTTCCAGCCATCATCTAATTTTTGCACGAAAATTGAATATCGCATCGGCTTCGCGCGCGTTCGAGCTATCCAGCGACATGACGAGCTGCCGCAGAGCGAGGACATTTCTTCCCCCGCAAGGATCCACGTGCGTATATGGAAGAGGTCGTATCTGCATAAAAGGTGTCTCCCACCGACAATGTCGAATCTGTCTCCAAGTGTTCATCGAACACGCACTGGAATAAAACTGATGAGTGTACCCCACTTGACCATGCGACTTGGATACGACAAGAACATCGGACACCGCCTCGGCGGTGCGATGCGCGTGGCACGACTGACGGTGGACACGAAACATGAGTACACAGTGCTGTTTTTCATACATGCTCCGCGAGCGGACCATGTAGTACAATTGCAGGGATTTATCATTTAAAACAAAAGATGAGCTCAATCATAACATTCCTTTTAAATTAATCATGATTTGAATTTCGATATTTTGCTTGAAAAACCACATGTCTTAAAAACTGCCATGTTGATAGTGAGTCTGTGTTGTAGGTAACTGGGGCGCGAAAAAAAAAACGTGCCACATCGCAGCACGCAGCCCACGCGCTGTCGAGCCTGGCCCCGCGTTGGGTTGCGGATCACGACGCGCGAGGCCTAGCGACAGGCGCTAGGCAACGAACTCCGGACGCCCGTTTTTTCTCAAGGTTGGCGACAGGCCTATGGCGGCAGGTTCTAAGCACGCATTATTTCCGCCGTTTCGCGTATCCCCACGAGCACAGAGACGGCTGGGTTCGCAAATTCGCTTCGTACCGCATCCCGGACGCTGCGTCCGCTTCCTGACCTTTGCCTTGGAGCCGCAAACCAAAAAAGTATCCCCACGAGCCTGTTCCCTCCGCTGCCGCAGTGGAGTTGCCTTCCACTGACCTGCATCGACTTGCTTGCCCAGGGAAGCACTTGCATCCTTATCGACACCTCAGTAGACGTGATCCCGGTGCCGTTTTGTTGCGCCACCTTCGCCATTTTTGGCAGCGTTGATCCCCGTCCCGCTCTGACCCCGACGCTGGTCGCCTCTCCGTTTTTCCCTTCGACCGGATGGCGAAGAGGAGGAGGACAACGAGGAGGAAGACGAGGAGTAAAACAGTAAGCGGTAGGAGGAGGAGGAGGAGGAGGAGGAGGAGGAGGAGGAGGAGGAATATGGAATCTGATGAGGAGGAGGAGGATGAGAAAGAGGAGAAAAAGGGGGAGGAGGAAGAGGCGAGTGGGATGATGACATCGAGGAGGGTGATGAGAAACAGGGGGAAAGACGAGGAGGAGGGGAATGAGGAGGAGGACGAGGATGAGGAGGAGACGGAGGAGGAAGAGGAGGATGATGATGAGGAGGGGGAGGAGGAGGAGGAAAAGGGGGTGGAGGAGGAGGAGGAAGATGAGGAGGAGAAGGAGGAGGAGGAGGAAGAGGAGGAGGAGAAGGAGAAACATGACGAGGACGAGGACGAAGGATATGGACGAGAGCGAGAGGACGAGGAGGAGGGGGAGAGGAGGGAGTGGAGAAAGAGGAGGAGGAGGAAACACAGGAATTCGAGGAAGAGGGGGATAATGACGAGGAGGTCGACGAAGATGAGGATGAGGAGGGGGACGAGAACGAGGACGAGGAGGACGAGGAAGACGATTAGGAGGACGAGGAGGACGGCGTCCTGGGGCCCGCCCAGGGGGCCTCTTGGGTGCCTCCCGGGTGCCTGTTGGAGGCCTCTTGGAGCCTCTGGGGACGCTCCTGGCCTGTTGGGAGCCCTGCCTCGCGATGCCGTACTTAAGGCGGTCGGTCAAAAAAATGGGGGGTCCTCGATGGCTGCCCCACCATTCGGGGGCCACGATCCCCGTGATGGGTATCAAAGATTTGCCCTCCCACTGCCAAAAAGGACCCTGTTACACTCGGTCCCCCGCCAACAAAACAAACAGGGAGGGGAGGGGGAGGGTTCCCCTCCCCGAAGGGAAGAGGTTTTGTGGGAGAAGCACGAGATCACCCTCAGCTCACCTGTCGCCCAACATGTTAGTGGGATTTTGCGTTTGCTGGGCGCATGCGCTGCGCTCGGTTGGCTTGCGTTGCCCCAGTCAGTTGTCGCCTGTCCTGAGCGCTCCGCTGGTGAATTCCATCGGCACCTTTTGCACATGCCCGCTGTCCCGAGCTACGTCGCCAGGTGTAGCAGGGGCTGCCGCTGACCTACCAGTGTGTGTCATCAGCGACTTGGCGTCGCTCGGACGTGTGCATTTTTTCTCGGCGTGGACCATTGAGAAGCATGTTTGATCATTTGGCGAAACATGCACGCACGAAATCGAAAAATGCACGGGGAATGGACGTCCGAGCTGTGCCATCAGCGAGGAGTGGCCTTCGTTCGCCCCTCGCGTCGATCGGCGGGCAGACCAATGCAGAGGCTGCTTATGTCGCGCGGGAAAAAAAACGCGATGCGCTTCGTTCTCCTCCTCCGCCTCCTGCTCCTCCTCCTCCTCCTCCTCCTCCTCCTCCTTCTCTCCTCCTCCTCCTCCTCCTCCTTCCCCCCCCCTCCTCCACCCCTCTCCTCATTCCCCTCCTCCCCCTCCTCCTCCTCCCCCCCCTCCGGCCTCCTAAGGGGGCGGAGTAGTTGGATAAGCGAGCGGAGGACAGAGCAGGAGCGAACGCGCCCGCGGCCATTTAATGCCCGGTTGTCGGCATCAGGATACGGTGCCGTTTTTAATACATGCTACGCGTGCGGATCATGTTTAAACAATGCAGGGAGTTATCATTAAAAACAACGATGAGTTCATGCATAAGTTCATTCATACATTAAGCATGCAAATACAATATATATATATATATATATATATATATATGTGTGTATATATATATGGTAGCCCCCCCACATGATCATACATATTCGTCTTTACCGCGGCCGCCGATCGATATCTTCTTTCTCCGTTCCCTTCTCCTGTCTCTTCCTTTCTCTCCTCCTCCTCCTCCTCTTCCTCCTCCTCCTCCTCGCCGTGCTATTCCTTTTCGGAACCATCGAAATCGTCAGAAACTAAAGAAAACCTGCAAAACAAAAAAAAAAACAATCACAATGATTTCTGGAGAATTTCTGGGACGGCTGGCGGCCAACATTCGCCAGAAATCGTAGTTTTTTTTGTTTTGTTTGTTTGTTTGTTTGCCTCCTCCTCCTCCTCCGCCTCCACCTTTTCCCTCTTCTCCTCCCCCTCCACTCCTTTTTCTCCTCCTTCCCCTCTCCCCCTCCTCCGTTATGCCGCCGGCCGTCAGCATGAGGGTAGGTACCGCAATTCCACCGATTGCTATCCAATCTGTCGCAACCGTTGCGTTGCCATGTTTCCAGGCGGAGCGCACGCATAGAGGTCTACAAAAGATGGTGGTTCATACGTGCGCGCACGCATCGCACCGACTGCCATCGGCTACGACTGCGTCGCGCATCATGTGCGCTCGCACGGCGCGGCCGCCTCCTCAGTCAGCCTCGCTGCGGCGCGCCGTCGCCGACTCAGAGGGCGGCTCCCCCTCGTCAAGCACGCGCGCGAGCTCTGCCGACAGACCGTCGTCATCCTCGACGTCGATCGTTTCACCGTGGGCCGAGGCGGCAATGGAAGCGAAGATCGCCCTCTGCTCATCGGCATCCACGGGTGACAACGGACCACCGCAGCCCATCATGAGCCCCCTCGCCCTCTTCACTGGCGGAGGCGAGGACAAGTCCTCGAACGCACCGTGGTGCGCCTTGGCGAGGCTCTTGAAAATTGCGAGCTGCTCGTCCTGGTCCTCCTTGGTGAGCTCGCCGCAACGCCCAACGATGTTGGGCTGCGCGGAGCTGGCGGCGCGCGAGCTGTCTTCTGGCGGTTCGTCCATTCCGCCGCCGAAGCCGAACGCGTCCTCCTCCTTGGACAATTCGGCTGGCGGCTGGGAAAACGCCGAAGCGGCCGCGGCGGCTGGCGGAGCGCTGGCCGCGCCTGGAACGAACCCTGAAACGTTGCCGACAGCGGAGACAACGCGCGCAGGGCCATCGCCGAAGATAGGAGCAACATGGACAGTCGCAATAGTGGGCACGTCAAGGCCCGCGACCACATTGCTCATGTACCCAATCGACCAAGCCATCTTTTCGGCGTAGTCTGAGGGGGGCGGGCGGATGGCTGGCGACGTCGTGCCCCGCACTTCGCTGACGAAGAGGTCGGGGCTCCTGGGGTTGGGCCACGGCATGAACTCTGCGCCATCCTGCAGGTTGGCGGATGCCGCGCGCCAGTGCACGCCGAGGTCCGTCACCGCGATGACGTGCGCCCTGGCGAGGATGGCGTCGAAGTCCCCCTCTGTCCTGACATCCCCCAGAGACGGCGCGATGATACGCTTGAGCAGGTCGAGGCCGTACTTGTTTAGCGTCGCGGCATCCAGCGCCGCCTTTCCGCGTCGCGGTCGCATGGGGTTCGCGACGGCCTGTCTGCGCGACCCTTGATCGAAAGCGCAGCCGCCCCACCGAGCCCACAGCAGAGCGTCCTCTTCCTTGGGGTTCAAGAAAGCCTTGAGCACGTCAGCGGATACCTTCAAGCGGCCAAGCGTTCGCCCGATCACCAACGCCACCGCGACTTCCACTTGGGAGGGCGATGCGGTGGGAAGAACCGCAGTCTCCCTGGAAGCCGCGGGCGGCAATGGCGTGGGCCACGCCAGGCCACCGAACCTTCTGAAGCAGGCCGTCGTCGAAAATGCCAGGGGGGATCTCCGTCGTCGGCTCGCCCTTGAAGAAATCCATATGCTTAACCGTCAGGAAAGCGATCTCATCGGCGGTGCCCTTCTTCTGTATGCTGTACGCCGAATGAACCCAAGCAAGCGTCTTCGAACCGTTGCTCTTGCCAACTCTGGACTTCCCGACCCACAGCACCCCGTGCATGTGGAGCGTGCCAAGGCGGAGGGCGCCATTGAGGAACCAGCCAGAGAAGTCCTTCAGCGTCAAACTCCAGCGCGAGATCGGTTTGGCATTCGTCCTGCCCTTCTGGTAATTGCGCAGCGCAGTCTCCACCTTGGACGCAGGCCATCCGAATATCTTCGAACCCTCCCTGTTGACCTCTGTGTCAGCCCATTCCACGCACTGGTTTCTGTTATTGCTGCGGGGGCCGTGTTCACGGATGAGCGTGTAACCCTGCGCGCGCTCGTCCTCCTTTAGCGGTTGCTTCCGCTCGTGCTGCGGCTTGATCGTGAAGTACATTGCGGTGGAGGCGCTGGATAGGCATACATGCGGTGAGAAGCCCAGGGGGTCCCGATCGCTGGGTCGCCACAGATAGGGCGCCCAACTCGTTTTGAAACACGGGGTGGGAGAATGCCCCTGAGCTGGGGCGGGCAGGATGGGGATCTTTATCCGAGCGCGCCCACCGTATTTAATAGCCCTCGAGCTTCTCCAGCGTGAACTGGAACGCAATCGACCCCGCCCGAAAGTTTTTGCCGTAGTCGATTTTGTGGGCCTCCCCGCGAGCACACTTGAGGATGATCGCAGAATCGACTCTGTTTTTTTATCGAAAGAAACAACCTTGAGGATGCGGTATGCCGAACGCTCGCTGTCCTCTGGCTTCTGGCGAACGGTGAAGATCTGCATCGTGCACGGGGCGACGGGCTCCTGCTTGAGCGACAGCGGCTCCTGCAAGTCCTTGAACCTACCCTGTGCGCACAACTCGTGCACCTTGTCGAAGCCAATCGGGCCCTCGTATTTGGATGCGATGTCGGCGAAAGCGACCAACTTCGCGGCACTCGAATTCGCGATCGGTAGCAGAGGGAGGCCGAAGATAGAAAGGTCACCAGCGAAAGCCAACCTGTCTTTCTTGACGCACTTCGAGGGGTGGTAGTCTAACTTGCTACCGCTGACCACCAACGACGCCTCCTCAAAGGTGGGCTTGCCGTCTCCCTCGGCGTCGTACGCAAACCTGCCCCAGCGACTGCACCTGAGCAGCAGGGGCGCTCGCCGTGATCCGTGGCGAGAGAAAGGCGGGTCGGGCGGTGGCCTTGGATGACGGGCAACAGCGCGCAAGCGTTGATCACAGACGGCTGCGGATGCCAGCTGAGCACCTGGGGAGGGAGCGGCGACGACGAACGATGCACACTGAAGATGGAAGTAAGAAGCAAGAGCGTGGGCACGACGACGATGAGTCAAAGATGTGGCACGGCTGCGGTGGGGACAATCAACGCGACGTCAATCACGCGCACTCGGGAACGCATGCGCGCTGTATAAAAACACACCCCTCGACATCGGCACGCCGTAAAAAAAAAAAAAAAAAAAAAAAAAAAAAAAAAAAAAAAAAAAAAAAAAAAAAAAAAAAAAAAAAAAAAAAAAAAAAAAAAAAAAAAAAACACCCCTCGAGATCGGCGCCCAGCACGCCGCGTCCATGACCTCCCAGATGGCATCCGCGGTGGCCGCCCACATATCCTTGCCCTTGTTCCAGTACTCGAACTGGGCCGAGCGAACCGAAGCCGCGAGACGCCTGCTGCCTGGGAGGTCCGCGCGCGTGCCAATGAGGGTTTTGATGGACCTCCAGGCGCGGTCGATGATCTGCGCCCCTGCCTTTACCCTGATCTTGGAGCCGTCGGGCAACTTGTGGGTGGCAACCTTCGAGTAGACTGGCTTCAACCAAACCCACTTCCTGCCGATATTCTTCCGCTTCTTGCAGTGCACGACGTGGTCGCGCACGAGCCCCGACGCGCGCATCTTGTAGCTGCGGGCCCCGTCAGAGTGCAAGATGACCTCGCTTTTCTCTAAGCGGCTTTTTTGGAACGGCGCCCAACCCGTCTTCTTGATGGCGCCTGGGCCTGGCGCGTTGGCCTCGGTGCCGTCTGATTGGGTCTTCCACAGAACGAGGCTATCAGGGCGCCCGCGCTCGACGACGCCCGCCCACTGTTCCCACGTCTTGGAACGACCGTCGTCGGACAGCTGGGCGCGGAAGACCGACTCATCCTCCTCCACGTCGAACCAGCGCCGCTGAACTTCGTCGCCGAAGACAATGTTGGGTTCGTTCTTTTCCACGTAGATCTGCCGCGCGGCTGCCGCGGCCGCGCTCATGTCCTCGATCATGTTGTGGTCGGCACCTGTCAGCAAGTGTATCTGGGCGGTGGTCATGCCGAGCGTGAGGCAGAAGAGGACTTTGGCCTTCGTCGACAAACTCGACGATTGGCAACCCCCGCCAGACTTGAAGACGGGGTGGGCGGTGCACGGGTCGACGGTCTTGCCGCGCAGCCTACCGCTGTTGCATCGCCAATGCGGGCCGCGATTGTCATCATGCACCCGCGCGCCGCAGGTTCCGACGCCGCAGTGGGGGCAGGTGCGGCCTTCCCAGTCAAGCAGGACGCCATCCTCGAGGAGCAGGTCTACCATCTGGTCCGCAGTTTTCCCGTGGAAGCTGTCGTAGTTGCGGCACCAGGTTTCGCGCTCCTTGCGGGATGTCACGGTCTTCTTCCCGTGGCGCGCGTACTCGACCTTCTCCGCTTGCTTCCTGCGCTGGCCCATCCTGTCCTTGCCCCTCTTGCGCAAGGGGGGCGCCTGAAAGCACTCGCAGGCCGCTTCTTCGGCGCGGAGGCGGCAGCAGGGCGTTTGATAGCACGCTTTCCCATCGCCAACGGTGGCAGAACGGTGGCCCAGACGGTCGGTTGAGAAAAACGCACTGGGCCAAAATGTGCAGCGGGTGGGACTGGGGCCCTCCTTGTCTGGAGGTTCGTCGGCTTCCTCTGGTCGTGGCGGTGGCGCTGTCGGTAGCCATGGTAGGAGTGGCTGTATTAGCAACAGTAGTAGTGGTGGTAGTAGTACTAGTCGTCGTAGAGCTGTAGCAACAGTAGTAGTGGTGGTAGTAGTACTAGTCGTCGTAGAGCTGTAGCAGCAGTAGTTGCAATAGAAATGGTAGTGGTAGTCGTAGTAGAAGAACAAATTCCTACGACGCCCGTATCAGATAGGGCATCCTAAGATCAGGATGCCCTTTTTGTGCAGCAATGCGCCTGTTCACGTTAGACTGAACATGCTTGTCGGCGGCTCCATCGTCGCCTGATTTTCTGGGTGGGTTGTTCGTCCTGTTGTCTTGATGTCATCATTGTGCCGCTTTTCCTACGACGCCCGTATCAGAGAGGGCATCCTAAAATCAGGATGCCCTTTTTGTTTAGCAATGCGCCTGTTCACGTTAGATTGAACATGCTTGTCGGCGGCTCCATCGTCGCCTGCTTTTCTGGGTGGGTGGTTCGTCCTGTTGTCTTGATGTCATCATTGCACCGCTTTTCCTACGACGCCCGTATCAGAGAGGGCATCCTGAAATCAGGATGCCTTTTTTGTGCAGCAATGCACCTGTTCAAGTTAGACTGAACATGCTAGTCGGCGGCTCCATCGTCGCCTGCTTTTCTGGGTGGGTGTTTCGTCCTGTTGTCTTGATGTCATCGTTGCACCGCTTTTCCTACGACGCCCGTATCAGAGAGGGCATCCTAAAATCAGGATGCCCTTTTTGTGCAGCAATGCGCCTGTTCACGTTAGACTGAACATGCTAGTCGGCGGCTCCATCGTCGCCTGCTTTTCTGGGTGGGTGGTTCGTCCTGTTGTCTTGATGTCATCATTGCACCGCTTTTCCTGCGCGGCATCCTGCCTGGCAGAAGCGCGTTCCGCCCTCCATTCCCCCTGGTCCGCCTCCCCCTCCTCCTCCTCCTCCTCCTCCTCCTCGGTCGGCCCCCTGCTTTGCCTCTGGTCGTGCTCCCCGCCGCGCCGTGCCTCTCTTTTCCCGTTAGCGAGCGAAGCGTTCTTTGGCCTCGCGGCGGGCTCCTGCTTTGCCTAGTTGTCCTGAGAAAAGCGAAGGATGGCCCTCAAGTGAGTGACCCTCCAAGTCGCCCAGTCCCTCAGAAGCTTCGTCGCCTTCGGCGGCAGCTCCTGGTCGCACACGCGCGAGAAAGCCTCGAACCAGGACTTCCAGGCCTTGAGGGCCTTCGCGTCTGCAGCTCCGTTCGCCTGTGCGTTCTCCTTGGCCGTGTTGCTCTCGGCCAGCTCCCTCGTCAGTTTCCGCGCTCGCTCCTGCGCGGGCGAGGCAGCAAGGCACCCGAACAGACGGGGGGGATTCCGGTGGCGTGGGCTTGCTCGAGTTGCGTTTGCTTCGTGCTTGGTGCTCTTTGCTGGCGTTGCTGTCGTTGCGGTTGCGGTCGTTGCGGTTGCGGTCGTTGCGGTTGCGGTCGTTGCGGTTGCTGCCGTTGCGGTTCCGTCTTTTGCGGTTGCGGGCAGGGTGGTGGTGGTGGAATTTCAAAACGTCGTGTCCCGAAGCTGCTCGTTGGACCACGCACGCTTCTCGGCGAGCTCCCAGTTGTCCGCCGCCTCGCCCTGGCACCAATCAACCTGAGCATGAGCAGGCGGGACAATGCGTTTATATGTTTGGAGATGTTTGAAACGCAAAGAGGAGGATAGATCGCAGCCTGCTCTTCCAGGTCCGCGATCTTCTTCAACAGCGGCCTCTGGAATCGCATCTTGAGTTTGTGCTTCGCCGCTTTGGCCTTGTCCTTTTTGACTCTGGCCTTGTACACGCGGTTGTTCTCGAGCTTGCGGTCGTACTGCTCCGTGCCGTGTTCGGGGTTGCCCATGGTTTCCCAGCGGGGCGCTGGCTAAGCGAAGCAACGGCCTTGAACACGCGTGTGCTGCACGAAACAAAAAAGAGAAGGAGAACGAGTGAAGAAGGAGGAAGAGGAGGAGGAAAAGGAGGGGGAGGAGGACAATGGGGAGGAGGAGAGGAGGAGGAGGAGGAGGAGGAGGAGGAGGAGGAGGGAGGAGGAAGAGGAGGAGGAAGAGGAGGGGGAAGAGGAGAGGGGAGAAGGGGGAGGAGGAGGAGGAGGACGAGGAGGAGGAGGGAGGGGAGGGGGGAGGGAGCAGGAGGAGGAGGAGGGGAAGGAAGAGGGGGGGGAGGAGGAGGAGGAGGAAGAGGAGGAGGAGCAGGAGGAGGAGGAGGGGAGAGAGGGACATCAGGAACATGAGGAGGACGCAGAAATTGGATGCAGAGGTTGAGGAATAGAAATGGGTTGCAATCCATTGAGCTGCATCCGTTTGGATTGCAATCAAATGGGTTTCGACTGCCAGCGCATCAACACATCATGCAGAAGAGCATGATGAGGGAAAGGCGAGGAACACTGGAGAGATGAAAGGAGAATGTGTATGATCATGTGGGCGGGGGGGGCGAGCATATATATATATATATATATATATATATATATATATTGTTCAAAATCCAATGTATTAAAAACTGCCCTGTATCTATCTCCATCGCCCTCTCATGGCGAGCCACAGTCAGTCGTGCGGCATACGTTTGGCTCCGTGGAGCATGTCCGTGGCGATGTTGTTTTTTGTCCAGTGGCTTCCTGCCGCGTTTTCCATCATAGCTCGAGGGCGTATTCACAACGAGACCCACAACAACGCCCACGACCAACGAACGGCTTGCGCACGGGTGCCCACGCGTAATCGTGCACTTGGAGCCAAGGTTTGGCAATTGAGTGGACGTTTCTATCACGTTGCCATTCTCATACCTCTTGCCCTGCATGAAGCGTTGCGAGCAATGTCGAATATCATTTGAAGGGTGAAAGTGGAGGTCGGGCGCAGGGTCCCGGCAATGGTGTCTTTATGGGCCATTCATCGGCGATGCATCCTGGATTGCTGTGTTCGGCGGGGGAACCACTTGAAATTCCCCGCCTGCATCCATGCACAAGATTTGAGGCTAAACGAAGCAAGGGGGCGGGGGGCTCGGGAAATGCGACGAAGGCAACGTGCTCTGAGGGCGCAAAAATTTGTTTGAATATACGACAGCGGTGAGGTGAGTGTTAAAACTTGCCCAGCCAATCTGACATGCGGAGCACTGCGCCTCAGTTTTGGCGATCTTGAAGCCCAGGGCATAAGCGGGAAAAAGTAACAGTGAATTCACATTGCGGGGAAAGGCAACATGTGAATTCACGTTCTGGGAAAACAGAAATTGTGAACTCATTGAAAAATGTGACTTCACATTTTGAAATGTTGTGTCGGAATATGTATGACAAGGGGCCAGCATGTGAATTCACATTTCGGAAACATAAGGAAAATTCGGATCCACATTTTGGGAGGTCGCGGGACCCATTCCAAATCCGTATTGGGGGTGGACAAGTCATCGTTTTGAAACATGCGCGATCATCAATCGATCATCAATCGCACAATCAAGACACACTTGCACTCCACTCCGCCGCCCCACGCGCAATGTGCAGTAACGCCCGCACGCATGAACGATAATGGATGGACGGCGTGTTTGCCCGCGCGGGCAACGCGCGGGCACGAACGATTGGGCCCCCATGACCGCCAACATTGGATGCCCATCGTACCCGATCACATACATGAGCAATGCACTAAGCATACATGGGCCAGTCAACCCCCATTGAAGACCCCCTGTTGCAGACCCCCTCTTTCACCCTCCAAATCATAGTGGGAACCCCTGGGATCGAATTGGCGGATACGACACGCGCTTGGTTGGCTGCAGTGGGTATTGGTTGCAACATGGCAGCAAGTCTTACGACTGGATCCACTTGCAATTGCCACGCCAACTTCTTACCCAACGCCTTACCCGCCCTTTATACCATGCGCCTTCCCCGACGCTTTATCCGACACCGTACCCGACGCCTTAACCCGACGGCCATTTCGACGCCCTAGCCAACGGTTTCCCCGACGCTTGTTCCAACGCCCGGCCCGACGCCCAGCCAGCCGCAGTTTCCGGGCTGGCCAGTGCCACGGCCGATGTTCCTCATTGGAGCTCCCATTGCGGGCGGAGCTGGCGGCGTTGCTGCGTCTGGCGATCCCCAGGTTCAGAACATTCGTGGTGATGATTTTGAATTGAAGAAGTTGGGCGAATATGTTCTGATGAACGTGGTTCGTGGGAGAGCGCGCCAGAAACAGATGCGTGCAACCGGCGGGCCGAGATTGTGTGGACGCGCGGGTGCATACTGCCCACAAGCCATGCTGCAAGGCCGTGGGCGGAGAAGGGCGCGAACAAAAACAGGCGGTTTTCACCACCATGCCCAGGCCGTCGGCGAAAAACCCGCTCGTTGCTTGCGCTTCGGGCCTGCGCGGTTGAAGGTCGCCCACGGGCAGACCCGGCAGGGCAGCAATTATGGGAAAAATCATATCAGAAGGTTTTGCCGCTCAAGCCACTCCATCGGAGGTCTATCGGGACTTGACGATCACTCCCAGGCAAAAATCCCCCGAAGAAGATGGCTTGCACCGTTGGGCTCTAAGTGCGGCGATTTATGCTGCGGCGAGGGCGCCGCCACGTACGGCTGGAGCTCGTGACTTGCCAGCCCCCGCACCCGTTTTTCAATCACCCACACGCAGAAGGGGCGCAGGGGGATGGAGAAGATCTTTTACGAGTTCCCCTGTTTTTCAGAAGGCGCAGGCTTTGTCTGTAGATGTCATATATGGCTGGCGCCCTCTAAGAAGCAGCCTCTTTTTTTGAAGCTCTCCCCCTTCCCCCTGCCCCCTTCTCGCGC